CATTCGTGGGTTAATATACAAGAGACTAGGGCATATGAAGTCATAAATTTGGTATTAGGGATAGAAACAGGATAGACGCGGCTGAGACTAGAGCTAGTTGGCTGACAGTAGGCTTGTTTTATCATAGGCGTGGTCCACGTGCAAAGACTTGATCATAAAAATTACACAGGGGCTTTAGTCTCGAACTGGTATCCCAGATACAGCTTGGGAAATAACGCCTCGAATAGCACAGATGTGATGGCAGGGGTCGATTAAAATACTTAAACCAGGGAGATAGCAGACAGATTATATGGGGCATGAAGAGACTCTGATAAGATGTATGAAAGGGGGATTGCGTAATAATAGGGCAGACTGATCAATATTTCTAGCATAAGGGTGAGGGGATGAGAAAACCAGTGTGGAGTAAGAAGAAAGAAGGGCACACTATACCACATTTAAATAAACAAGAAAAATTGTGATAGTGAAGGCGTGACACGAAGATATAGGATTGGTAATTATACCAAGGCAGAAGGAGAGATACCACGATTGCTTAGCAGACAATTGGTAAAAGGATCGGCATAACTTGTCTTTTTGACGAGTTGTAATGTGGTGCTAAGAGTAGCAACACGCACTGACAATGCCGGCGAAAGGTCTAGGAATGTACCATGTGCACAGTCTGACTCACGCATACTAGGGACTCCGAACTATAGCGTTCCTCTAGATATTTCTACCAATATGACCAATTTGCGAAAACTAGGTCAAGGGATAAGTTGTAAATCTGTGCTAACGATACCGGCAAAATGCCTGGAAATGTACCAAGTCAATGGTCTGATGATGGAAATCACGAATATTAGGGCAGAGGACGCAGGACTAGGTACGTTCTACAAGGTCTCCTTGCCACTTCGCGGTCAAACATACACTAAACATATTAAGGCCAATCATAAGATTTGATTTATAAAGAATAGCCATAAAAGTATGGACTAGGCTGATTTCTTGATTAGCTGTGATAGTTGGTTTAGCATAAAAGTGATTTTAGTTGCAAAACACTTAATATAAACTGGCAATTTGCCAGTCTGGGCAAAAATAGTTAAAAGAACGTACGCGGATTTCCTTAAGCCTAGGTGGGCGTGATTGGTATCCAAATCGAAGGGGGATTGATGTATCCAGAGAAATTGAGTAATTAACTCCTAGACTGTCGTGTTCAGAAATATGATAAACATTGTCGCCATCATGTAAGGGACTCGCTTGTTTAATTCTGTCATTAGAATCCTCTTCCTTAGAAGGTCGTGTCTGTTTGACTTTTCCTGCTTTACTCATGTTTGGTCTTTTAATAGGGCCCTCATCTGACGAAAAGATAGAGGTTGATGAGACCATATCAGATGCCGGACGTTGATTTTTTCGCGCCTGATCAAAAGGCAGAACATCGAGCCCCAATTTACAGTCATGATTATTCTGATGGCAGACTTTAAGAGTGCTTTTACTTTTTTCCATATTATTTGAATATATGGACTTTCGAAATGAACAAGAGTGTGTATGCTTCGCCGAGACAGCTTCCTCAGATGAAGAGCTAGTCGTCGAATCTGGCGCAGCAATCTCACAAACCCTGGCTTCTCCGACAACCACCTTTTTCATCCATTTACGGCCTCGTGATAACACTTTTCCTGAGCGCTGACTGAGGCTTAATGAGCCACATGAGTCGTTATAGCAAGGGGAGTCAGTCTGGTCTGAAACAAGAGAGGAAAGAGATGAAGCTGATGAGGCAGGCGAGGCGACACGCTTACGATGGCGCCGTTTCCTATTTCTTTGTAGGCCCATGTGAAAAGAAGAACAGCTCCTGGGGCCTGATTCCGAAGCGAAAGAGGCTAAGCTATCGGACACAGGAAAAGCATCGGATTCAATAATAGAATGACTCATTGAGTGAGTTTCTTTGTCTTTTCCAAATGTTTTATCGTGCCCAGAGAACCCTGGAGAAGCTGAATCCAGTTCGCTCATGAGACGATTTTTTAGTTCCGACTTAAAATCTTTACGGGGACGGCCACGACCTCTCTGACGATTCAGCTTTTGTGATTTCCGACATCCTTCAGTCATTGAAAATTCCCGGTCTTTTCGCTCAAGTGAATCAATAGAAGGACATGTTGTTTTCTGCTGACGCCGTCGTTTGACTCGTTCTCCAAGAGCTTCCGTAAAGCCTCCATGATTTCCCCCAAGCAAATCATTAAGATTCAGGTGTTCTGAAGGCAAAGGATGGGGAGAAATGATGTCCTCCTTAATTGCGATTTGATTAATACATTCTTTGTTTTCTAGTACAAGGGGCTTTTCAGTAATGAATGAACTTTCAACAGTCAAAGCAGCAGCTAATGCTTGTGGCTTCGAAGAGGGATCTCGAACTTGCCAATTCATTAAATCTTCTAACTCGCTTCGCCTTCGACGACCTGTATATAATACAGAAGAAATTATTAAAGTAAAAGCTAATATTAATAATATATAGATAATTTAGGAATTTGAGCAGTTTTGAAGCTGAATTTCACTTCTATGTATATAATATTACGAGAATAAACAAACTTGTAAGTTGATGAAATCATCACTCTTGGAGTGTACCAAAAAATGAGCATATAGGGGCGAGCAATACAACTAATGAAAAGCCTAACCCTAAGTGGTCGAGCCTCAGAAATGTCGAAATGGAAGATACGACACAAAAATAGGAGCATAATTACCCATACTTGCAGATTACTGTGCACGAGACGTGTGAAAGTGGATATTAGATTTTAAAGAAAAGTATAGGGAAATATAACGAACTTACCTCCACCTTTGGGCTTGCCCCCGAGCCATCGAGTTTTAGTAAACTTTCCATCAGGTGAAGTGGATGAGACAGCAAGACCAACCTTTGCTACTTTTCCTGAAAGTCCGAGAGAACTTAGGCTGCATAGATCAGTACAAAGGGGAAATGGCTGATCCGGAGACTTGTGTAAGTGGCCTTCAGAGTCAGCAGTTGCGTTATGTTCTGGAGGTGAGGCAACATTTGCATGCGTTTTCGAATTAGTCCTGGGCAAATAGGCAGCTAATCCTCTAGGAGCAACTCTATTCTGATCATCAGGAGTTATTATGTCGTCAGAGTCGAAAAGACGGGCCCCAGCGGTACCGGGAGAAGGACCAAGAGAACTATTTTGTCCAGGAAGCTTGTTGGAGGATGCAAGAGGGGAAGTTATGATGCTGGACAGGCAAGACACTACCGAAACCTGCTGACCAGGAGTTGCTGGATAAGAACAATTTGAAGGCACGGATAAGGGACTTCGAGGTATTGAAAGGGGATCATCGATCAGTATGCCGACCGAGTGTGGCGCGTGACTACTATTTGATGCAGCCCCACCGGTGATGCCCAATAAAGAAGATGGACCTGAGGGCCCACACATTCCAAGAGGATCGAGACTAATGACTGATGTTTGTTCAAGTAATTCTAGTTGCCTGTCGTCGTTACCGGTTGGCCAGCAATCAAATAAGCCACCGCCACCTTTCGTTTGATTTTCATTGCTATCGTCATTGGATTCTAGTGGATATGAATGAAAAAGAGCAGCGTTTTGAAAAATTTTAGACAGCGCTTTATCTGGAATACGTCTATTGCACGTGTCTTTGTTCGTGGAAGATCCGGCTGATAATATAGGCTGCAGATTGGGTTCATCAACACTTGTGTCTTCATTTAATACATTTGACCTTGAGGATGCCACTTGTAAAGGGGCTTCATTCACGCTATCAAATTGGATCTCTTCAGGTATGGGTGGAATGCTGTTGGGATCATTTGGACATTGTATAATTGGTGGAGTACTATTAGAGACAGAAATTTCACCTAAAGATGATGTCAAATTCTCAGAAAGGCAA